TTATTATTTATTTATTATTATTATTATTATTAATATTTTATTATTATTATTGTTTTATTGTTATCATAATATTATTAATATTTTGTTATTATTTGTATATATTTTTTGTTATTATTATTGTTATTTTTATTATTTTATTGTTATTATTATTATTGTTGTATTATTATTATTATTATTATTATTAATATTTTATTATTATTATTCTTATGTATATTTTTGTTATTATTCATTCATTTTCTTGTCGGCTTAGTCCCTTTATTAATCCGGGGTTGCCACAGCGGAATGAACCGCCAACTTTTCCAGCAAGTTTTTAAACAGCGGATGCCCTTCCAGCCGCAACCCATCTCTTGTTTCTAGTCCAAATATCAAAACCATCTTTAATCAAGAAGCTTATTTAGATAACCAAAAAAAAAGTCATGTTTTCAGAAATAATGAGTCAAAATTAAGTGAGTTTTTCTTTAAAAGAAGCAAAGTAATCTGCCATTGGGATAAGCAAAAGAATATTTAATTTACACCATTGACAGATTAAAAGACAGTTGCTATTGAGACAAGACATTACCTTGATATGAATTGAAGTAATTTTATATATTGAAGAAAATTATCTTTTTTATAGCTCAACTGCTTTAACTCATGAATTTTGCATCCTCTAATGTTGATGAACTACAGATGAAGTCAGAATTATTCACACTTCTCTGTGTTTTTTTTTTTCTCCCAAGTGATGTTTAACAAACTCAGGATTTTTTCACAGTATTTACTATAATATTTTTCTTTTGGAGGAAGTCTTATTTGTTTGGTTTCACCTAGAATAAAAGCAGTTTCAATTTTTTAAAACCATTTTAAGGTCAAAATTTTTGCCCCCTTAAGCAATATTTGTTTTGGATTGTGTACAGAATAAACCACTGTTACACACAATGACTTGCCTAATTACCCTAACTGTACCCTAATTGACCAAGTTAAGCCTTTAAATGTCACTTTAAGCTGAATACAATTATCTAGAAAAAATATCTAGTCAAAAATTATTTAGTCAAAGATAAATTAAATCCGTTATTAGAAATGAGTTAAAACTTTTACATTTAGAAATGTGTTGAAAAAAAATCTCTCTGTTAAACAGAAATTGGGGGAAAATATAAATAATAATAATAAGAATTCAAATTTACCAGGAGGGCTAATGACTTCAACTGTATGTAATGCATTTGGCATAGTACAGTTGTGTAATGTGTGTGGTGTGTTTGTGTGTGTTATTCAAGGTGAGAGAGACTCTGGCTGCTGAGACGGGTTTGAGTGTTCGAGTCGTGCAGGTGTGGTTTCAGAACCAGAGAGCAAAGGTGAGCACATACACAGATTCACACCCAATTATCATCATCTGGAAATTTTAAAAGGCAGCATTATTTTTTCATGCATAAAGACTCAGACACTGTAAATATATGTGAGGATATAGTTTGTATATTTTTCTGTTTGCAATTTCTATTAACATTGCACTGTTACAGTAGATGCATTGCTTATTTACATAACATAATAAATTAATTAAATAATTTATCATTTTATTTATTTTAATTAAAATTTTCTATACATACAAAAAGTCAATGTCTATATATACAAAATGTCTAATTTAGGTTTAGTTAAAATTAACTGGTCTAAAAAGAATAAATAAATAAATTAATTAATTAATTAATAAATAAATAAATATATAAATAAATAAATAAATAAATAAAACTGAAATAAAAATAAAATAAACCTAAACAGTAATATGAAACTTAAAAACAAACAAAAAAGACGAAAGCACATGACACAAGTACAAAATAATTACATCAAAATACAATGAAAGCTTGGAAAAGTACCAATAATTAAAAATAAATATAACAAAAGCATACAATTAAATAGAAGTAAAAGCTAAAATGCAAAAAAATAGCATACAAAATAAATAATGTATTATAAGTAATTCTAAAATAACGCTGAATGGCTGTCACGAGGCACTAGTGTCTTCAGTAACTCTTTCATTTTTCCTCTTAGTCATTTATGATGTTCAACATGCTTTAATAATTTTCTTTTGTTCCTGCTCAGATGAAGAAATTAGCACGCCGACAACAGCAGCAACAGGAGCAGCAGAACTCTCAGAGACTCGGACAAGGTACAAACACACACACACACACACAAACACCAGGGCCGGATTAACCAATGGGCATTATGGGCACAGGCCCGGGGGGGGGTGCCGATTTTTGTAGTGTCTTTTTAGGCTAAGTGCAAATAGCGCACCTCGTTGGAATACATAGATATGTACACTAGTTGAGTGATTCCCGCCCATCACCGTTTGATTGACAGAGATAACATAACTAAAGAGAGCAACAAACATTAGTGTGAGTGGCGTAGCTTGTAAAGCGCATGACAACATGTTTTGATGCGATTGATCATGAACCCGACGTCTGATGAACTCATTCTTGTTTTTTTTCCCACTACATATCAGATTTTACCTACTCTTCATCACAAGGAAGACAAGTAGGAATCATTAATAAGTGTGTTTATTATGGAAGACTGAGGGTGCTTTGACACCTACACTTTTGTTTCGGAACGTGTCTCGTTTGCCCAGTTAGCGCGGTTCGTTTGGCATATGTGAACAGGGTAATCGCGCTCTGTTCCGCGACAAAGTAATCGCTCCGAGATCGCTTGAATGAGGTGGTCTCGGCTCGATTGAAACGAACCCTGGAGCGGTTCGATTACAGTGAGAAAGCGATCCGATCCGAGTGCGGTTATATCACAGTATATGTGTATTACATATTTTTATGAAGAGAGAATTATGAGTAGGGCGAGAAATTTTGCGAGTCTCCGGATGCCCGCAAACGAGTGATGATCTCCCGGTAATCTCGAGTCTCCCTCCCGGTCCTCAAATAGGCTATGTCGTGCACCCTCCTCACCCCTCCCCACCGCATCTCTCCTCTGACACGTCGCGCGCGCGCACCCTGTCAATCACCACCAAACCACCACCTCTCCTGAAAGCTTAGCGGGACGCTGCAAAATAAACCCTGACACTCTGACCAATGTGAGGAGAGTTTACTCGCACGTGACTTGTTTTAGCTCTTTTGGTCCGATTAGAAACTTTGCAATGTGAAAGTGAACCGCTCCAAGAGCAAAGAGCAACAATGTAACATTTGTAATCTCTGTTTCGGAACAACTGAATCAATTCACAGGTGTGAAAGCACCCTCAGATTCATAGAACTGGATTGGAGAGGTGTTATATCCAAATCATTTGCATTATAAGAAGTTTTCAAAGCGTGCTTTAAATGCTTTAAAAATAAGTTAAATATTTGTAGACTAGAATATATATGTACTGTATTTCATTAGCTTAAAAATGCGGGCAATGCATTATAGATAAATTTTATTTAACAAATATTATATTGATCTTATTTTTTTAATTCAACTATAGGGGTGTGGCTTGGTAGGGGGCCTACAAGTCATTGTGCCCAGGGACCTCTGAATTCTTAATCCGGGCCTGACAAACACACACTATTAACAATGTCCTGCATGTAGAATCTACAGTTTGCCAGTAACCTGCTGTATATGTGTTACAGCAAAAATACTGTATTTAAATGGCTAGCACCATTTATCTTGCTGCATGTATTGGAGTAATGTATATATTGACTAAACATTGCAGTCATTTTCACAATGCAACTTTAAAACCCCGTAATATACCACATAACTGTCCTACAGTTAAATACAGTTCATATTACAGTTAAATACTGTCTAATTTAACAAAAATCTGTGCAAAAGCAGTGCACATTCACAATGTTTGACCAATGAAAGCCATATATGTTAGAAAAATGCTTTGAAAATGTAAAAAAAAAAAAAAAAAATCACTAATAAACTGTGGGCAAATCGACTACCCTTTCATTATGTTCAGGGCTGTTTTTGCCCCATTGACTGCCGTTTTAATGACCTTTTTTAAATGTAAAGCCATGGCAGCATATAATCATGCAATGTTGATTGTTGCTGGTTTTACCTGTTGAAAAGAGGTACAACTTGTAAGTTTTGTCCCATCTTATATTAAGTGGCCTTAACTAATATATACTTACACTGAAGTTATTTTGTACTTATAATGTAAATACATTTTGACTTGTGCTTATACTTGATTAAATACCAGTGGTGTAAAGTAACTAATTACAAATACTCACATTACTGTAATTGAGTAGTTTTTCTCAGAAATTGTAATTTACTAAGTAGTTTTATAAATGTGTACTTTTACTTTTCCTTAAGTACATTTTAGTGGAGTATCAGTACTTTTTACCCACTACTTTCCTTTAACCTGCAGTCACCACTCTATTTCTTTCTTGTCTTTGGTGATTGGCTAAAGTAGAAAAATCAGTCCTGTGATTCCTGTCCAATCAAATCGCACATAGAAAGTAAATCACATGATACTGAACAACATCAACACATGGGCGCTTTATAAATGCAGCAAACCTTTTAGAAGCATTAACAATGTCCAAGAAGATGTTTAAAATATTCACACACATTGACGCTCAGTCTTTTAATAGACTGGATGTCACTGATGAGAAAATAGATGTCGACTGTAAAAAAAAAAAAAACGATTTTGACTGTATGATGACTGAAATCACCAAACAGCCTCCTTAAACAACCACTAAATGGAACGAATGAAAAATGGAATCAAGGACCGAACGAAAGAAGGACTGAACTAATGAAGGAAGGAAGGACCAAATAAATGAAGGAAGGACTGAACAAACTAAGGAAGGAAGGAACGAACAAAGGACCTATTGAGGGAAGGATCAAAATTATGAATGAAAGAACGAATGAACGAGCGAACAAATGAAGGGAGGAATGAAGGAAGGACCCAAGGAATGAAGGAAGGAATGAACAAATGAATGAAGGAAGGAAAGAACAAGGGGCCTAGTGAAGAATGGAACAAAAATAAAAACAAACGAACGAACAAAAGACCAAATGAAGTAAGGATTCAAGGAAGAGCTGAACAAACTAAGAAAGGAACGAACGAATGAACAAAGGACCAAATGAAGGAAGGAACAAAAATATATATGAGCGAACAAATGAAGGGAGGACCGAATGAATGAAGGAACAAACAAATTAAAGAATGAAAGAAGGACAGAACAAACAAACAATGAAAGAAAGTTGGAAGGAACAAATGAATATAGGAAGATTACTGCACTACAGAATGTTACGTTTACACATCACTGCACAAACTGCATGTAAATGCAAAACGGCTTTTTATGGCGTAATACTCACTAATCACTACTCATGAGTACTTTTTTAAAATGCCTACTTTTTACTTATACTTTGAGAAATATTTACAACATATACTTTTACTCTACTTGCACTACATTTTTGTGCAAATAATGGTACTTTTACTTGAGTATGATGTTTCAGTACTCTTTTCACTACTGTTAAATACCCGCAGGTAATTACATCTGGGATTCATTTCTGTAATTACATTTATAATTACACTGTGTGTGTGTCATGACTCGGCTAACGGGTGTTTTTTCTGCAGATGTGATGTCCAGCCGGATGGAGAATCTGATGAGCTCTTACACACCGCTCGCTCCTCCTCCTCCGCATGCGTTGGTATCTATGGAGAGCAGCGGATACAGCACAGACCCCTTCCAGCAAGGCCTCACGCCGCCGCAGATGCCCGGAGACCACATGAACCCATATGGTGAGCCCTGTGTGAAGATCACGCACACACTTAGAGTACACTGTTAAAAAAAACAAGTGTTAATTAGGAGTTTGGGTATTTTGTGATTCACAAGTGTTTTTTAATCGGATTATGGGATGTTAATCTCTGCTCTGTCGACTTTTAATGTTGAAAATTCCACTCTACAGTTTAACAAAGTGACTTTTACTGACATTTTTGTAGTTTGAGGTAATACAGTTGAAGTCAGAATTATTAGCCCCCCTGAATTATTAGACCGCTTGTTTGTTTTTTCCCCCAATTTCTGTTTAACGGAGGGAAGATTTCTTTAACACATTTCTAAACATAACAGTTTTAATAACTCATCTCTAATAACTGATTTATTTTATCTTTGCCATGATGACAGTAAATAATATTTGACTATATATTTTTCAAGACACTTCTATACAGCTTAAAGTGACATTTAAAGACTTAACTGGGTTAATTAGGTGAACTAGGCAGGTTAGGGTAATTAGGCAAGTTATTTTATAGCGATGGTTTGCTCTGTTGGTTATCAAGAAAAAATATAGCTTAAAGGGGCTAATAATATTGTCCGAAAAATGGTGTTTAAAAAATTAAAAACTGCTTTTAATGTAGGTGAAATCAAACAAATAAGACTTTTTCCAGAAGACAAAATATTATCAGACATACTGTGAAAATGTCCTCGCTCTGTTACACACCATATGGAAATATATAAAAAAAAAGAAGAAAAAAATTCAAAGGGGGCTAATAATTCTGACTTCAACTGTATAGTGTATAAGAATTAGTATCTAGAGAAATAAGTTTGTAAAATAACAGAAAATGTGCTGCAGTTTATCACAAGGTTTTTGCAGTGTAATATACAACTCCAACACGGACAATATATCACTGCACACTATTAAAAATGTTCATAAAAGTCCCCTTTGCAAGGTTTTCAAAGCCAAGAGGCAACAAAAAAAGCAGATACAGTACAAAGCAGCAGGGACACAAAACAATAACAATATCACAAATGCAGATAATAACATATAAAACCAACTAAACACTAAAAGCAAACACAGTGATCCTGTACTGTTGACTGGATTGAATTCTCAAAAGATGATAGTGGAATAAAAGTGTTGAGCTTTATAGACTGCTGCAGATGATTCCAAGCATCAGCAGCAGAAAAACTGAAAGAGTAGCGACCAAATGAAGTGCGAACTTTGGGTATACAAAGGCTAATAAAACCAGGGGTTTTCAACTGGGGTCTGCGGACCCCTGGTGGGCCGCAAGAGAGTGCTAGGGTGTCCGCGAAAAACTTGGCAGAAACAAAAAATTATTTTAATGAGATATTTTTTTTCCAATCCTAAAATGATTAATGTCTATAAATTATTAATCTATATATAGTTTTATGATTTATATAAGTGGATGCTTAATTGAAATGTGTTTATCCCAAAATACTTTACACTTTTTAGGGTTTTGCATACCGTTCAGTGGAGCAATTAGCGGCTGTTAGTGCAGTACAGATGGTGGAAAGATTTTTAAAGAATCCTGCTCCCACAAGCAGATTATGCACATCTGACTTGGCGAGCGTTAAGGCGAAAACCAGAAAAAATGACAAATCTTACATTGCGTTTGGTTTTACCTGCATGTTAAAGCAGGGAGTCGATAGACCCCGGTGTGTTCTTTGTCAAGATATTCTCTTTAATGAATGCATGAAACCATCCAAGCTCAAGCGCCATCTACAGCAGAAACATCCCAATGAGGCAGAAAAATCGACGGACTATTTCTAACATCAGGAGCTGTGTTTGGCCGGACAGGCTAATATTTTTCGGCAGCAAGCATTAGTCCCTGAGAGATGTTTAAAAGCGTCATATTTGGCATCACTCCACATCGCGATTGCTAAGAAGCCGCACACAGTTGGCGAAGCATTGTTATTACCAGCTACCAAAGACATCGTCAAAGAGTTATTTGGAGAGGAAGCGGCACGAAAGGTAGATTGTGTGCCTTTGTCAGACAACACAGTAAGCTGATGCACAAATTCAATGTAAATATTTTAGGTAAATATTTATGTAAATATTTTAAATATTTATTTATGTAAATATTTATGTAAATATTTTAAATATTTTATATTCACACTTTACAATAAGGTTCATAAGTTAATGTTAATTAATGCATTTACTAACATGAACAAACAATAAACCATACATTTACTACAGTATTTATTCATTTTAATAAACGTTAGTTAATAAAAATACAGTAGTTCATTGTTAGTTCATGTTAACTCATGGTGCATTAACTAATGTTAACAAACATAGACTTGAATGTTAATATTGCATTAGTAAATGTTCAATTATGATTAATAAATACGGTACATGTGTTGTTTATGATTAGTTCATGTTAGTAAATGCATTAACTAATGAACCTTATTGTAAAGTGTTACCATATCATGCAGTTTTCCATAAATACAAGATAGAGGAAAAAAACACCAGAAATTACAAATGTTACAAATGTCCAGGTTTACCTTTTCATCTACCAGTGCCTTATTTAGAAAAGCTCTCTTGTTCAGTTAACGTAAATATTTCCTTTTTTTTTTTTTTTTTTTTTTTTTACGAAATATAAAAATTGAAAATAATTTTTGGCTATAGTGAGTTGCCAATTAATAAAATAAATAGTTTTGAAAGCAACACCATTTTGCATGCCTGTGAAATATGAACTATAGTACCTTCACGTTATAAAGAATTTTAGTTTACATTCTTATTCTTGTAATACATAAATGCCTTTAAACTTTAGGCAAAGGGGTCCCCTGCAATCAGTCATCATATATGGGGGTCCCTGAGATTAAAAAGTTTGAAAACCCCTTAATAAAACTACTAGAGCACAGATTTCGACGTGTTTCCTGAATGTTAAGAAATGATTGTAAATATAGTGGATTTTTTCCAATTGAGAGTTTTATAAGACAACAGAAACAGTGAATTTGTCGACATGATTGAAGAGATTTTTTTTATACCTGTTTGCTTTGAAACGTGCTTTTTTCCCTTTGGTTCATATTTCATGAAGCTTTAATGAAGACTTTTAAATGTTTATGGAAGAAATGAATGGAAAAATGGCACCAACGCTGCATTAATGCGTTCTAATGAAAAAGGTGGAAAAAAAGTCAATCAATATCAAATGATATGCACAAAACTGGACGATGATGCCAAACACATAAAAACAGGTCATCTTGCACTTTAAAATTAGCAATTTTCTGTATTTTATTATTATATTAATTATTATTTTTTATTTATTTATGCTTTTGAGTTGCATTTTGAACTTTCTTCCAACAACTTTTAACCTTGAGAAGTTGTAAAAAGTGACTTTCATGAACATTATTAATAGTTTAAGTGATATATTGTCTGTGTTGGTGTTGTGTATTACATTACAAAAACTTTCCAATAAACTACCAGTACATTTTCTGTCATTTTTACAAACTTATTTCTCTATATTTTATTTCTTATATTATTTCAAACTACTAAAATGTCAATAAAAGTTACTGTATTAAACTGTAGAGTTGAATTTGTAACATTAAAAGTGAACAGAGCAGAGATCAACATCCCATAATACAATTCACACCCAGAAATAAACACTTGTGAATGACAAAATACCAAAACTCCTAACTAACAGATATTATTGTAGTGTGTATCCTCTTTTCTCTGAAGTGATTTGACCAAAACTAAATACACACACACACACAAACACACACACACACACACACACACACACACACACACACACACACACACACACACACACACACACACACACACACACACACACACACACACACACACACACACACACACACACACACACGTCCTATTAAGTTTCTCAGGAATGCAATTGAGCAGAAGTCTCTGCTAATGCTGCATTTGGGCTCAATAAAAATAAATGTGCCATTAAACTGTCTTCACCCTTATGTAACAGTGTCAATTAGTTTTTGAGGAGCCTATAAAATTACACGCAGTGAAAGTGATTGTGTATCTGCTGCTGGATTGCACAATGATCACTGCAATCTGTCCCGCTGAGACCTGACGCAAATCACTAGTTTGTGCTCTTTTATATAAGCTTTGAAAAGCAGCCCAGAGTCTTATTTCTGCTGCTGGTTGATCATACTTTTATGGCTTACAGTAAATGGTGTCCTCCAGGACTGAACAAACTCCTGGAGCAAACTTATTATAGCAAAAGCTTCTGTTCAGTGAGATTGGCATGTCTGATTATTAGCTGTGCTACTCTTAAAAGAATTATGTTTGCTGGTTTGTTCATGCAACTTTTTTTAAACAATTTGATTTTTGATTTTTTTTTTTAATGGGGACAACTTAATTGTTTTATGTTCAGTTTACTTTAATTTGTATAAACAATTGAGTTAACTTAATTGATTTTTCAAGAGTTCACACATGCAGCTCATGATTTATATATAGCTTGTTTGGCGTGCTGTCCCGGGAGAGAGCCCTGAGCTCAAGAGATCCTCGAGCCCAGAGCTCCCCCCTTTCGCAGGGTGAGGGGAGATTGAGCTCAGCTCGATGGAAGCATGGTGGTGTTGGCATTATGCTGTGGGGATGTTTTTCAGCAGCAGGAACTGGAAGACTAGTCAGGATAGAGGGAAAGATGAATGCAGCAATTTACAGAGACATCCTGAATGAAAACCTGCTTCAGAGTGCTCTTGACCTCAGACTGGGGCGACAGTTCATCCTGCAGCAGGACAATAACCCAAAGCACACCGCCAAAATATCAATAGAGTGGCTTCACAACAACTCTGTGAATATTCTTAAGTGGCCCAGCCAGAGCCCAGACCTAAATCCTATAGTACATCTGTGGAGAGATCTGAAAATGGCTGTACACCGTCACTTTCCATCCAGTCTGTTATTGTTTTTATAAATGTTATAAAACAAAACAAAAAACGCCATGTTTCAGGACATGTTTAAATTCATTTGCAGACAAAACAATACCAATGTTTTTAATTCAAAATAAGCAACATTTAAATAATCACAACGAATAACACAATTTCCAGAATTTGGCGTAATCAACTCAATGGTCGTCAGCTCGGACATCATTACTGGTCATATTTAAGTGAAGTTTCACAAACTAATTTCGTGATATGATTGACTGCAGCTGGTCACCCATCTACAATCATTAGTTAGCCAATCTGATTAATCCAAACTCACTATAAGTAGCCTCACTAGAACTACTTCCTTACCTTCGTTTTCAGAAGAAACCTCCCATCCACCCCTTGTCCACCTTTCCTCCTTTACCACGGGGAGCTCTCGAGAACCACCTGATCTCGTACTTCCCTTACATGCTCTATTGACCAGGCGGGAGCCCTGGGCTCAAATATCTCCGAGCTCAGGGTTCTCTCCTGGGAAAGCATGTCAAACCTGCTAACATTTGTCAAACAACATCTATTGAGTTTTACCGTTTGATGTTGTATTTACTATCTTTAACCTAAATTTCTTCCTTTTGTTCTTCAGGAAACGACTCGATTTTCCACGACATTGACAGCGACACATCTCTAACCAGCCTGAGCGACTGTTTCATGAGCGCATCGGATGCCGCAGCCCTGCAGAGCCGCGTGGGAAACCCCATCGATCGCCTGTATTCAATGCAGAGCTCCTACTTCACCTCCTGAAAGCAAACCCTGAAGCTAAACATCCACAAACACTACCTATCAGATACGTCCAGCGCTGCAAACACTAACCATCATGTTAAAAAGGCTTTTCTTATCTGGAGTTTTTGTCTTGTTTCTAGTCCAAATATCTAAAAGTTCTCAAATCAAAAAGTAGGAAATTTTGGGTCTCATTCAATAACCATTTTCTAAATATAGGAAAAAAGTAATAATAATTCGATTTCGTTTTCACGAATGAATCATGATTTGACAAAACTTTTAAAAATTGATGGTTAATGTGCAAAAAAATTTTAATAGATTTTACGAATAATTCATGATTCGTCAGGGGCCTCATGTATAAAGGCTTACATTAAATTCATACTAAATTATTGCGTACAGCTGTAAATATGCGTACGCAGTGTTTCATACATCTAAATTTTTAACTGCGTACGCACATTTACAGCTTTGTCTGTATGCAATGTTTTAGTATGAATTTAACGCAAGTCTTCGTACACGAGGCCTCTGATGAATCATGAATTATTCGTAAAAATCTATTACATTTTTTTTTTACATTTACCATCAATTTTTAAAAGTCCAAAAGCTTCAGAATCCTGCGCATATTCTGTTTGTACATCTGAATTAACGTGAAACTGAGCGCAAAACCCCTCCCTGCCTCCTCCCCCGTATAAATATGGTAATGACTCTACTTTGACAAGACCAAATAAAAAAGCAATGGCAAAAGCAAGCAAGAAGAGAAACTTTAAACAGAATGTGAATTGGTGGTGCTCCTTTCGGAGGTAGACCAGAGAAAAACAGTGTTATTTGCAAGTTTATCCTCCGGAATTGATAACAAAAGAAAAAAAATAGAGTGGGAGAGTTTAGCTGATGCGGTTAACACAGTGGGGTCTGAACATCGCAATGAGTGAATTAAAAAATAAATGGTCCGATGTAAAGGTGTTACATTTTGTAGTGTCTATTTAGGCTGAGTACAAATAGCACACCTCGTTGGAATATAGTTGAGTGATTCCCGCCCATCACCATTTGATTGACAGAGATAGCATAACTAAAGAAAGCGGCATACGTAGCTCGTAAAGTGCATGGCAACATGTTTTGACTTGTTTGATCATGAACTCGGTTCGAATCCAGCGTCTGATGAACTCATTCTTTTTTTTTCCCCTGCTACACATTAGAATTTTCCTACTCTTCATCACGAGTAAGACAAGTAGGAATCATTAATAAGTGTGTGTATTATGTTAAGCGCATTTCAGTGTCACATATTATTTGCACATTTATTGAATGGAAATGTTTCCAATTCACGTATGCAAGTTCGTCTTCAGGTGGCGCCTTTATAGCAATGTGCGTGGAGTCGATTGCTCCGATTACATTGTGATCGATCGATGAAAGTTGCGCTTTAATGTTTGGCTGGTCAACTGCATGGAAACCTTATATACCTGCTAGACATGCGGATAATCCCGTCCCAAACAGCTGCCATTGCACGGCTCAAAGATATTTTGTGGTGTGTAATTTAACATAATCGCCTCTAGGAGTCGCCAATGGAAATAAAACAAACACTCACAAGAAACGTAAGTATGCCAGGCATGAAGTTGGCATGGACCAACGCACTTTCTCATTCATCGTTAGTAAATCCAAACGTGAGCGTGAAATCTGGCGCATGCAAAGTTTTTGTGCGTACGCAGCATTGATGCATGATGGTACGGTGGCCGGGAAATGCAAAACAACATTACAAAGTGTGAAACACTTTTACAAAGCTCGAGACAAATTTACATTTCGAAAAACATTTTTACCTGTCATCAGACACAATTACAAAGGAAAAACAATTTTACCCATGACGAAACAAATTTACATTTTAGAAAAAAAAAACAAGACGCAAAACACTTTTACAAGTGATGAAAAAAATTTACAATTACAGATTCCTTACTGAAAGGGAATGTACCACACACCGGTAGTGACCCGGAATGTACCACACCGGGAGTGACGTGGGGGAAAGTTGTTGTTGTTGATCTGGTTCAATTCCATGTCAACAGCTCCATTAGGAATATTATTGCCAGAAATAAACATAACATGTTTAATACTTGTTTCCCCCACTGTATTTACCGCTGAAAGCACAACAATATGTTTAACTTGTCAAGAGATTTTTAGATATTTGGATTACAGAAACAAGACAAACACTTTTAGTTAAAAAAAAAAAAAAAAACTTTTGCAATTGATATATAAGAAAAACAGATGGTGGTTTTGCGCTGTTAAAGACATTTAAGCCAATCAGACAGTAATTGCAAAACTGAAGACTTCAAGACCAAATATATTCAGGACATTGACAGCAGTAGATTGAACCACTGGCTGAACAGATCCAGTTTAGACTGTAAACCCATAAACACAACACATTTGGAAAGACTTCAGTGCATTGGAGCGCATTACAACAACAAAAAATAAACCATACCTGATGGAGGATCTCAAAGAAACGTCGATGTTTGTTGGTAAAGAGAACTAGCTATTTATTACGTACATGTGCCAAGTAAACCTAAAAAGCTTTATTTAAAACAAACTGTGTTAGAGTAAGAAGCGTACACATCTTTATGTAAGTCAATGGAAGAGAGTGTAGTATTACTGCTGATGTTTTAAAATGTATATGTTTATTTCACTGTGCTATTTATTTCTCATTCGCATTCTTGGACATTGTGGAGGATGCTTTTTGTTTAGTTTTTCGCTCAACTTGCTAAAATTACCAAAGTTTGTTGGTACTAAAAATAAAGAAATGATGAAAATCAACTGTATATATTTCAAGTTTGTCATTTAAAATGATATTTAACACATATATGGTTTGTTTTTGTCTATTATTTTTGAGTTCAAGTGTACATTATTGTCTTTCTTAACAGTTTGCATTTTTTTATAATAACAATATTTAACACAGATTATTTTTCTATTTATTTATTTATTTTTATCCATTTATTTATTTTTAATTATTTATTTATTTTTATTTATTTATTGTAATTTATTTATTGTTAATAAATTTATGTTATCATTTATTAATTTTTTATTGCTATTTATCTATTTATTTTTATTTATTTATTTATTTATTTTTATTTGTTATTTATTATTGTTAGTTATTATTTATTGTTAGTTATTATTGTTCTTTATTTATTTATTTTTATTTATTTGTTATTGTTATTTGTTTATGTATTGTTATTAATTAATTAATTAATCAATCATTTGTTTTTAATTGTTATTTATTTAGTTTTATTTATTTATTAGTCATTATTGTTATTTATTTATTTGTTTATTTTTTTATTTTTTATTTTCATTTATTTATTAGTTGTTTTTTAATTGTTCTTTATTTATTATTGTTCTTTATTATTGTTATTTATTTATTGTTATTTATTTATAATTTTTTATTAATTTATTTATCTTTTTTATTTATTTATTGTTATGTGTTTTTGTTTATTTATTTATTTTTATTTTATATTTATTAATTTATTGCTTATTGTGTATTTTTATTTATTTATTTATTGGGACTCTATTTATATCTGTATTTATGTATAAAATATACACAATGGTCCTGAAAAATCTCCTCTCGAAGGGCTATCTAGCCCTTCCCCTCAGCCCTATTTCTTCAAGCTAAAGAGAACTGCGACACCCCGAACCTTTTACGGGAACACCCAAAACGAGGGGTAGGAGTAAGGGTAGAATTGGGCCTAAGTTAGGAATTACTTCAGAGAAGCAGCACGATCAGATAAGCATTAATCAGAGGATGATTGTGTATGCAGACACAGCCATAATTGAGGTTGGTGTCGTGATCTTGTTGTTTTGGGTGTGCATTAACTTGGGCAACCTGAAAAATGCAGATTTTTTTGATACAAATGTTTATAAATGAATCATAAGAGACAGTTGTTGTAGGGCTGGGCGATAAAATCTGTATCGATATTTATTTACCAAACACCATTGTCAAATCGATTGAAAAAGATTCGGTCTGAAGTTTCAGTATGAAGGCTAAAGCAGTGCCTATAAGCTTGGGTGTAAGTTTGTCATTTACAACAGAGGCGCGCGACTTGCACGACACGCATATGGGAGCGACGCACACATGTTGTGCAAGCAGCGTGCACATGAACCGCACGCATTTTCCAGCCCCACTTAGTTGAAAACATCTGAACTATTATAAAAATGACCTGAGCGCACCGCAATTCATGTAAGTAGAGCAAACCAATCCACTTCACACTTTGTATGGAATATACACGTTTCAGTAATAACGGCAGAGTGATTACCTCAGACAGATTTGTCCGCTTGCCATCCTCTGTGAAAATGGTTGATGGTCACCAAGTTACGAGAAATGCCAGGGTAGCGTGAGCCCAAAGTCCATTGTAAATGGTCAAGGAATCCACGCACATGGGCTTGTCACTTCCGGTGAGAATAACAACACATGCGAAAATGTCTGTAAGGGGAAGGGTTAAGGCAGGCGTGTCCAAACTACGGCCCGCGGGCCATCTGCGGCCCGCAATCTGTTTTGTGGCGGCCCGCGAGGCTTTTTATAAATATCAATAGAATCTGGCCCGCTATACAAAAATTAACGTGATTCAATAAATAACCACCGGGTGTCGCTATTACATGCCTTCAATTAAGCAGCAGTTGTTGTTATGATCTGTCTGTCTGTCTGTCTGTCTGTCTGTCTATCTATCTATCTATCTACACACAGTTGAAGTCTGAATTATTAGCCCCTCATTGATTTATTTCTTCTTTTTTAAATATTTCCCAAATGATGTTTAACAGAGCAAGGACATTTTTACAGTATGTCTGATAATATTTTTTCTTTTGGAGAAAGACTTTTGTTTTATTTCCGCTAGAATAAAAAGCGGTTTAAATTTTTTTATGAACCATTTTAAGATCAAAATTATTAGCCCCTTAAGTCTTCAGAACAAACCATTGTTATAAAATAACTTGCCTAATTACCTTAACTTGACTAGTTAACTTGATTAATCTAGTTAAGCCTTTAAATGTCACTTTAAGCTGTATAGAAGTGTCTTAAAAATATCTAGTCAAATATTATTTACTGTCATCATGGCAAAGATAACATAAATCAGTTATTAGAAATAAGTTACTAAAACTAATATGTATAGAAATGTGAGAAAAAAAATCTTCTCTGCGTAAAACAGAAATTGGGGAAAAAATAAACAGGGGCTAATAACTTAGGGGGGCCAATAATTCTGACTTCAACTGTATTTATATATATATATATATGCGTGTCTGTGTGATGTATGTAAAATTTGGCCCGCGACAACGTTTGTTTTTTTGCATCTGGCCCTCGGCCCAAAGGGTTTGGACAGCCCTGGGTTAAGGGGAATTGGGATTGGTCATGAGAGTTAATATCCTTTAAAATCCACAAACTTTGACCTAAAGCACACTAAAAATATCTGTTAATGAACAGCGTGTGTATTTTGTAAATTCACAAGTGTTTCCTGTTTATTTCCGGTTGTGAGTTGCATTATGGGATGTTGATCTCTGCTCTGTCGGCTTTTGATGTTGAAAATTCAACTCTGCAGTTTAACAAAGTGACTTTTACTGACATTTTAGTCGTTTGAAATTTTATAATGTATAAGAAATAATAATAAAGAAATAAAGGTGGCTCAGTGGTTAGCACTGTCGCCTCACATCAAGAAGGTTGCTGATTCAAGACCCAGCTGGGTCAGTTGGCGTTTCTGTGTGTGTTCTGCCTGTATTGGCTAATTTACGCATCTTTT